AAAAGCTGTGTTAAACACCACTCGCAAACTTTTTTTCCCTTATTTTGAACATGGAATCCACCTATTGCATGGGTGTTCTTGAAATGAGAGGATTCTTTCCACTATTCTTTTTGTATCAGACAGTTCTAGTGGAACATTATTCTTTGCAGACAACTCCTTTACTATGTTTTCCCTGTAATGTTGCAAAAAAAGTTTTACAGCAAGATCCACTATATAAGCTACTGCTTAAGCTTTTCCTTCATTTTGGAATGTGATTCCTAAGCCTGACATTCACCTGGCCCCAGAAGAAACTAACGCTTCTATTCCTGCAGGCAGTCAGGTGCAGGGGACCCTCTAAATCTGCTGTGCTGTGAGCTACAGCCTGTTTTGTAATGTCTTTTTTTTTAAACTCATAACACTTAATGACTAAACAATTTTTTCAGTAGATTGTTTTATTACAATTAACGCAGCATTTTTAATCTAGATATAAAGGCAGGGGTTTTGCTGCTATAACAACGGCCCACCCATTGATACTCATTCGGTTAAACCTGTAACTCATTTCTTTAAGGTGCTGCTTTGACCTCTGTGATATTCTGAACTTTAATTTGCAGTGGAAACTGAAGATGTTCTTTCGTTTGCTTAGTTGATCAAGTCTGAGATAAGATTATGCTTAATACAGAAATAGTTGCATGAGGAGGTTGCCATATAAAAGCAGAGCAAATTGTGCACCGATTCATTTTGTCTCAATTCTCTGCCTGTACTTTGGTCTCAGCACTTCATTACTGGTTTTTGGGCTTTTCATTTTGCATTGGAGAGAAGCCCTGAAGCCACAAGGAGTATGTGAGATGGTGAGCGTACCCAGGCTGCAGATCTGAAGGGCTTCTGCTCTCATTGGCAGACAGGAGGTGGAAATGCTGCTTATTTGTTTTATCGGTGATGAAGAATAGACAGGCTTAAGATAAGAATTAATTTTCTAGTTTGACCATTTGAAATCAGTGATGTTTTAACTTAAGTCCATGAGATCAGAGTCAGGCTCATGGCACTTAGAAAATAACTCCCATGTACTAGATCACCATGGAAAACACAAAGGAGAGCATGTAAATTATTTATACTGCAGTTATTCAGACCTCATGCTGGAACTTCAAGGTAGAAAAATTTGAATGCCCTGACTTTATATCTTTTCTCACTCTGTGTTGGTTTGTTTTAATCAGTTTTGCTATACCAAGAACCAAGAGTTGGTTGCAGTATACCCATGTGGTCAATATATTTCAAATACATTTCTGCCAAATGTCCATTATGCAGTTTTAGCCAAATTCACAAATCATGTAAGTAGACAGAAATCCTACAACTTTACCAGGATTAAGATCTAACAGTTCTAGTAGCAAAATCAATAATGTGATTGTACAAACTGAGGACTCATGTATCCTCTACAGTAAGTCAGCTTGGCTGGATAATTTACCAGTCTGCATGAAGTTTGTCTGTTGGGTTGTTTTTTTCTTTTTTTCACCTCTTAGAGCTTTTTAAAAATAGTTGGAATCAGTTTAATAACGGAAGTCACAATATTTCGTTGTATGTCTACATCAGGGGTAGAACACTGCAGTGTTCCGAAGTTTTTACTTATTATCTCCTTAAATTAAATCTGAATAATGACTCCAGGGAGTGATTCACACAGTAAACCACAATTTATAATGAACTCCAAGAAAAAAAACCTCACATTGCTACTTAGTCAAAGAGGTTTGACTGTCTTTAAAGCTTGTTTTAATGTTAATAATGTGTGACTTGCATGATGATGTGAAAAAGGGGGACAATTTTTTATTGAAACCTACTAAAATACCTTAGGCTACAATATGAAAAACGCTCATAAGCTCTAACTCATTTGGGAAGAATTTTTTTTCAGTAACATAATTTTAAAGTAATATGCTTAAAGATGCATGATATTTCTGCACATACACACCCAGATGGAAAAAAAATTAAATTAAGAAGAGGTATAACAGAGGTATTAACATGGTTATGTGCATCTTTAGGCTGTCTGTAAGAATCAACTGTCACATTTAGGTTTATGAAATGCTCATAATCAGCGATCCGCTCTATTTTACACTTCCATGCTGAGTGGCTCATATGTCCTAGTTACTCGTTTACAATATAATTATGATTTTAAAAAAAGAAAAAGGCCTGTTGCATTAAAGACAGAGTTGGAAATATTCCAATGTATTGCATTAATTTAGTTCAATTTATATGAGCATGTTTCATTCTGCTAGGGAAGGTTAATTCACCAAGCTTCATTTCCTGCCTTAATCATCTACCAGAAGTATATTAATATGTCATATTAATGCCACACATTGCTACTGTGAAATCTGTGGTCCAGCCTGTAGTGGTTTTTTAACTACCTTTGAGCTAATGGCATATCTATACATACACTTTTACACTGCTTTTTTGTATGTTGATCATACTATAAGAACAAAGCATTTCAGCTAGAGGTTTTAAACAAAGGAATTTGCACGCTGCTGTTGCCACAGTAGTCCACGGTTGGAATCAGCAGTCCTATTTCTCCAATGGTTTATTACCCACTCTGCAGCTGTCTGCAGCTGTAACATTTGCTATCACATACAGTAGCTTTTTAAGCTTCAGCAGGACTAAAAAGTCAGTCTAGGGGATATAAAGTTACCTGTTGGCCAAAGCCAGGCTGTCCCCTGTGGCGGTGACGCAGGGCAAGGCGCTGTGTGCTTAGGCAGTGCTCCGGCATCGGCCCGAAGAGCCTCTGGGAACTTGGAAACCAGTTCACCTCGCGGGGAACTTTTACCAGGCCCTGTACAGCGACAGAACTTTTCGGCGCAGCCAGGAGCGAGAAGTGGCAGCAGAAGGGTCCCGGGGCGGTGGCTGACCGGCTGCTGCCCTCGCGGGGTAGCTCCTTTCCACGCGAAGACTCCGTCTGCCTGGAGTCAGCAGGAGGCTGGACTGGCTGCTGCAGCGCCCGGCCCCGGCGAGCCCTTCTGCCCTGGGTGAAGGGCCAGAAGGGGAGGACGGCTGCTGGCTCGCCCCTCTGCCACCCGAAGAAGGGTATGGCGCTAATACCTCGGGGCACAGAGGAGCAACACTAGTGGCAGGCACTGACGGCACACTCCTCCCCAAAGGAACAGGTCCACCTTGTGCCTCCCATACCTGCTAGTGTTTAGGTATTGTAAAGATAGCGGTCTGGGAAACACCAGCTAAAAAAGGAGCTGGAAAATGCCGCTTCCTCCTGCAGGGCTTCCACCCTGAGACACTTCTTTACGTAACATCTGTGTTTTGTGGCAGAGCTTAAACTGGAGAGTCAGGATTTTTCTAAGCTATGCCCCATCACATAGGTGATTGTGCTGAAACATATAGCGGAAAAATAACTGAGTTTTGTACCCTGCTGGGTCCTCAAGAAAGTGAGAAGTTTGCATGCACTCGGGGTTATGAGGAATATAAATACTCCTCTATTAAAAAAAATAAATCCTAAAGAGATGGGGTGCTTTGGGGTCTGTAGCATATATAAGCACACCTCATGTTTCTGAGCCCCTTGCAGTCTTTACTTGAAGAACACAGCCCGTGCTGTTGTTAGGTGCAAATCCATTAAAACAGCATGTATTATCCAGTGCTGAAGAAGAGGAGTGTGTCAGCTGGAAAATACTAATATTTCAGGCACTGCCTCGTAATATTTTTTATTACGGTGTATGTTATTGCTGTATGTAGGATATCAGACACGCTGCTTGGCTTTTTCATGATTCCTCTCAGGCTTTTCAAATCACAAACCCAACTTCTCTATAGATTTTCTCTGCGCAATGCTATCTTAGAGAACACTACCTTTGAGCCTTGAACCAAGGAAGCAACTTTTATAGCAGTTGACTGCTCCTGGAGCTTCATAGCAGTGACTTAGTTGGACCAAATGGCCCTTAACTTTTAACAGAGCCATTTCTCAATTTTCATGAAGTTGAGCATGCTGTTTGCAAAGCTCTATATGGAATAGCATGTTAAAAGCTCTTGCAATAAATCACTTGCTTCAAAAATAGACCTTGTATTTAGAGAAGGCATGGAGCCAAGTTACTCCAAGAACACATCATCCTCTCAGTGTACATTTCTGCAGTTCTGTTAATATTTAATTTTAACTGTATGCTATGCAGAAGTTATTTTCACAGGGGGAAAAAAAAAAAAAAAAAAGCTATTAAGTTACTAGGTCTGTTTCTAGCTTGCATCATAAATCAAAGAAATGTTACCTCACTTGTGCTACAGAGCTTTGTAGCTTTGACTTTAGGTGTGCAAAACTGGAAGTTACTTCCTGGATATATCACTTTGCAAGGTTATTAGAGATGTTGTAAGACTCTGAGATACGTCCTGCTGTTAAAGATTTCAGACACAAAACTTCTATGCAAGTCTTGAGTACAAGTCTAGCCTTCTTATGCTTCACATGTTTCGTAGACAATCCAAAGTTATGGCAGCTGGAAGTTTAATTCAGAGTTTGGCAAAGAATAATCATCTCTAGAAAAAGCTATAAAAGCCTATCATATTATTTTTACAATTAAATATATTTTTTATTTCTAACTGTAATCTTAAAATAATCCGGGCCAAAAGTGCAATAAGACATAACATAAAACAGTGTCAACACAAAGCCATTTTTGTAAGAAATAATACAGGACAAGAATGCACAGAGAAATAAATGGTTTTGCCCAGGATACTGTCCTTTATCACCCCACATTATCTGCACCACTGTAAGCTTGTAGCTGTGTTGGCTGAGGAATCATGAACAGACATTTCCAAGCATTTTCACACTGTTTTGATTATGCAGATTTGAATGATAACACGCCATTGCAAAGATAGAATGAGCCATAACATTCTTAATTCACATAAAACTGATCTATGTGTTTTTTTTTTAAAAAAAGTGATATTTTCAAAACTCTGTTTTGGATTGCTGTTGTTCTGGATGAGAAGCTGTAAAACCAGAGAGAGGTTGGGATGAAAGCTACCACGTGCTGTTTCACAACGTTTCACTTTCTGAATTGCAGTACCCTTCCTATTAAAGATCCGCACGTAGACAGTGCCTCTCCGGTGTATCAGGCTGTGCTTAAAACTCAGAACAAGCCTGAAGATGAAACTGAAGACTGGAGTCGCCGTTCTGCCAATCTACAGTCTAAGTCTTTCCGCATCCTTGCGCAGATGACTGGAACTGAGTACAGTAAGTTCAATTACAAAACGTCCCCCTCGTCCTGATTTTAGATTCATGGCTGCCTTACCCCACTAGTAGCAGCTGATGCTCAAGGAAGACTCACGTCCAGCCTGTAGTCATTGTTATTGAAGGCCAAGATTGAAGAACCCCGGGTGTAACTCAAGGGAACTAGGAAACCAACACAGTCAATCTCACCTTATGCTTTATGAAGAAAATTCTTTGATCTGCAAGGGGTCTCACCATAGAAGTATAACAGACTATACAGCAAAAGAGCATTTGGGACCCCATAGTTCTTACTTACAAATCAAATCTCTGTAGTGTAATCTTTCATTTTCCAGCAGCCTAGATATGCACAGCTGTCCATTCCTTAGAAAAAAAGATAAACAACTTACGTCTCTTTTAACAGTCATTTATAGAAGTGACTTCCGGAGGTCAAAAAAAATCATGAATCACCATCTGTATCGAACCTATAGTTCTACCAGCCCTGCTACCCAAACCTAGATCTGCTACGAATGTCATTAGAGCTTTAATTTTGTTGCTTGTTGCCTATGGAAATGTTTTTCCAACCACCTGGTACTCGCCTCAGAGCTTATTTCTGATCTAGAGAGAAGTTAGTTCAGGGACTTTTCCCATATCAGGGGGAAATATTCAGTATTTCCTTCTCACACGAATCTGCTGCTGCTTCTTGTGCTCTTCTGTGAAACAGCAGGCCCTCACTGCCTACAGCTGAGAAACACTGCTAACAAGTGAATGAGAAAGTAGTTGCGATAGTTACTTCCCACTAACATCCCTCTTCCTAGCTCTAGGGAACTGTTCCTCTTCGTGCTCTTCTTACAAAATCCGAGGCTGCAGAGTCAGCGTGAATGTACCTTCAGATAGGCTTCTGATGCATTTCTAATGAACTTCTAATTTCATCATAAAGCCAATTCCTTTCTTTCTTTCTTTCTTTCTTTCTTTCTTTCTTTCTTTCTTTCTTTCTTTCTTTCTTAACTGAGACATTTTTTGCCTGCAGTGCAAGATCCAGATGAAGAAGCCCTGAGGAGATCAAGGTAGGCAACTCCCTGTGAAAAATATTACTTTTTCCTTACTGATAACCAAATAATGTTTTAAAACAGGATTAATATGAATGTATGTTGCTATCTTTTTGTCTTAGTCTAATACATTTACTTAAAAATCACTAAAATTAAAATGTTATTAGCAAGAGGCATTTGAATGAAAAGGATAACAAATTAGCATGTTTGTAGGAAACGCAGTGTAAAATTCCTGAAGTGTGTGTTCAGATCTGAAAGCTCTCTGCACATGCAACTTCTGTGTACTTTACTGGGTGTGTGAATGCAATGAGTTCCTAAGACCAAACCCTGTGTAACAACTTGTTTGTGTAACTGGATGAAAATATATATTTTTGTGGAAGCACAGAAATTTGTGAGCAATTTATTTGGATGACCCTGTGATTGACATTTGATCCTCCTGAGATGATACAGTAAAGGAGATTTTTCCACCCACATCCATAATCATTTGCTTATGTTTGGTTTGGAATAAATACAACCCACATCTGTAGAATATGGAAGCACAGGACTGCTTTTGCTAGTGGATAAATGTATTTGTTTCATACGATCTACCAAAACCACTGGAAAAGTGGATCTGTTCAGAGATATAATAAGGTATTAAAGATTTATCATAATCTTACGCTGTCGTGCATAGCCAGGAAATTGATTTGTTAGTGGTTCTTGTGTTGAGCTTAAAAACTGCAGTTGAATCAGAGCATCCTGCATGCAAGCCTGATTTTCTGTTTGCATATGTCAAATCCCTGTATCACCTTGGCTACTCTAAGCCGCTGGCTGGGTTTCTGATGTGTTTGATTCTCAATCCACTGCCTTTTCTTCTTTTCACTGCCAAGTGGCTTCTATAAAGGTTCTGAGCTTTTGATCACAGTGCAAGTTACAAATGTTGAACCGGTGAGAAAGATGTCTGAGATGTCTGTCATCTTCCCTGTGAAAACACAAGTATACTTTCCGTTTGAGTTTGCTATAAACCTTCCATTACAGTTCACTGAAGTTCACAGTTAGGTGCTTGAGCATCAGGCTTGGCATTACATCCCTCAGGGATTTATTTCTTCCCTCAAATGTGCAAGCCTAATTCTTATTCAATGTATCGTGCATTATTTGTTTTGATGTAACAGCACACACCAAATCCTTATTATGATGGGATTTAAAGCATTGTGCTGAATTTAACAGTCCCCCGTACATATCTGAGAGTCTTACGTTGTTTTAAAGAAATAAACTTTATAGCTGTAGTCTGTCTTTGGAAAATACTAGCTATTAGAAACTTACCACGGTATCGGATATGTTGAAAATAACGATCTAGTAACACATCAGCATGTGTAAATTGCACGTTCTGCTCAGTGTAACTTAAAGCACATGACCACATCCACTGCACTGTGCGCGTTTTCTGCGGCTCTGAGGTATCACTGTGTCACCCTTTTTCACACAGACAGTCATGGTAATATTTAGGCACAGCTGCATTACCTAGAGAGGTTTAAAGGCATTCGTTGGTAGTCGAGGCAGAAGGGAGTGTATACTAGGTAGTCATCTGGGCACAGTGCAGTTGGCACGAGCTCTGGGGCACGGAATGAAATGGGGTCTCCTTCCTACCTACCTGATAGCGCTCTCCCCATCTTGGTGGCTTGGTGCCTGCCTCAGACGGTGCACGTACTCCGCTGCAGACCGCGTAGCAGCAGCCCTGGTTACGCACGCGTCTGTCGTATGCTGCTCTTTCGGGCCCGTTAGACCCCTTCTGTTTAACCTTTTGGCAAGGCCCCTGTTGCTTTTGATTTTTGTAAAGGATGGAAGGATGCACAGAATCCATGCTTTTAACTCCACTCTTCCAGCACAACAATGGAGTGGAAACTCCTCTTCAGTAGCTACTCCAGACGGCCTGCAGCACCACACCTTTCTCCATCCCCACAGTTAGGGATCACCAGGAAGGCTTCCTGGGCTCCGGAAAGCAAAAGGTTCCCATGGAACTGTGGAACCTGAGTCTTGCCAGATTCAGTGTTGCATTAATCCCATGCTGTGCTGGCATTCTGGAAAAATCCTTCATGTTCCAAAACTGCCAGAGATTTCACAGTGTGGGGAATTTTAGTCTCTGGGCACGCTGTAAGCAATCTCTCTCTGGTGCTTTCTCTTGTCTCTTGGTGTCAGCTGTTCAGTGTAGTCAGTGAGAACTGCACGAAACGGTGATCCGGTTTCTTCCAAACACTCGGGAATAAAAAAACCATACACGTAGCTTATTTTTGCCAGAACTGTTTTACATAAAAATAGTCATTTCTAGATTGCTACTTCTAACTTTATGATATATGCTCTGAACAGAACCCATAAAGCTTGGGAATCTTCAGGTGGCAGAATATTCCCTTCAGTTAATATTCATGAGCACACTGCATGGCTGTCATTTGCTCATGCTACTGCTATTTTTGAAGGCACACATCGAATTATAACTTGCTGTGAAAACTTTCCATTGTTGTTGTGATGATTGTTACAGAATATTTTCCAGAAAGATGGTATCCATTTCAAGCCAAACAGATGTTTCTGAATACCTTTTCCTTGAATAGAGGGGTATATCTTTAAAGCAGTAAGGGAATTCTTAAATTCCATTTAAGACCCACTGTATCTGGTATGCCCCAATGTCAGTTGAAAAAAAATGCCATCCTGAAGTTTCAGCTAGGAATACATTACATCTTTTAATTACCTCAAAGCATTAAAGATGGTTTGAGAAGTCATACATCACAATTACTTTAGGAGTGTTACTTGAATGACACTGTTATTAGGAACAGAAGAGTTACAAGTACCAGTGAATTTGTTGGCATTTATTCTGTTTATTGTTTTGCACTTTCTTCAGGCTGAGGAGTAAAACCAGCCCAGTCTGTTCATTTCTGTTTGGCTGGTTTCACTCTCATAGTTCTGCTGCATTAACACAATTATCTTGCGTTTTGAGTGTAAATAATGAGAGGAAAATTACCTTATTTGCAATGAATCAAATACATTATGGAGATAACAAGAACATTTTATTTTCCATTCTCTTTTATACATTTCTCCTTGACTGTGCTCTCATCCCACATCCTCCTCCTTCCCCTTTTTATTTACAAAATGTGAATTTAAACTATAGACTATCTAGAAAAGATTAAAACCTGGGAGGTGCTGAGCATTGCTTGCAACTTGCTCGAGCGTCCCATTCTGCAGTCAGAGGTAGCTAGGGGCGTTCGGAGGAGGTGGTCGATACTTCACAGGACTGTGCTTTGAAAATCCCATGTTATTCTGCTTTTTGACACAAGTGACCAGAAACGGTTATGCAAATATCAACACTTATACTCACTTATGCTGAGAAAAGCTATAGAAAAGTACTGCAGAAACCCGTGGCTGATGGTCCTTACAGGAAGGACAGCAGGATATATATAGGTTGACCTAGGTATTACAGAATGGAAAATATTTGCATTAATTTTGCTCTTGTGTGGAGTGAACTTTCACTGACTGCTCAGTTGGGGGGGAGGGAGGAAAAAACTGAGAGAAACTTTTGGTAGAAAACCAACAGGATTACACTGTGTTTCTAGCAAAAGCAGCCCTGTAATAACACACACAAGTCAAAGAATATGAAGTTTTATCAAGTTACTTCTCAGAACCTGCAAAACCTTTCATAAGGAAAGGATCCATAAAGGATCACCCAGCCTTCTTTCTGCTGATTTGAAAGCTGAGGAAAAAATCCAAATAAATTGCCACTGCCCTAGTTATAAGGCAGGGGAGTGGTAGCCATGGTCCCTAACCCCTTTCTTTCTCCCTCCTTTCTTTCTTCTGTGTGTGTGTGTGTCTCTCTGTCTCTGTCTTTCTGTCTGTCTCTCTCTCTCTCTCTCTCTTTCTTCATGCCACAGGGAAAGGTTTGAAACGGAACGTAACAGCCCACGTTTTGCCAAATTGCGCAACTGGCATCATGGCCTATCAGCGCAAATCCTTAATGTTAAAAGTTAAAAGCCCACATTTAGCAGGCAAATACACGAGACAGAGAATTACAGTAAAAAAACAACTGCTGTCCTGATATAGAGCCTAAGAGTGTCACACACAGAGGGAAGAGTTACTGCTAGGGCCTCTCTCCGGGTGCCTGTCTTTTCTAGATTCCTCTTGTTAGCCTGTTGTCCATCCACTGTCACCAAAAGTAAAAACAACGTTACAACCTGGTTCATGTTCTTCGTTATGAAGTAGATTAGCTTTTGTCCTTTACTAGCTCAAATGTAACTTCAGTATACAGGTAATCATCACTATTGTACTCTCTTGAATTTCATTCTAGAAGAAAATGGGAGGGAAGTTATTGATAGTATTTCTGTAGGAGGAAGAGGAATGAGACTTTTAATGAGTTTTACTGCTGTAAAGATAATTAAGTAGGAGAAAGGAAGATGAAAAGGAAAACTGACTGAGCCTGGTCTAGACTTTGCTAAATGTACAACACGCTTAGTTTGCATAGTTGAATAATGCTGTTTGAAATAAGATATTAGCAATGTGAAGTTATTTCTTCAATATATTATACTGGTAGAAGTCATTTGCTGAACAGTTGCTGTAAGTTTTCTGTTGGAAACCTGAATTTGTCATTATATGAAAGCTAGAGATAGCTGTGGTTGCTCAGGATCTGTGAGGAAATAAAATTTTGCTAGAGGTGATTTAGGAGTAAGAAGAATATATAGTACTACTGGTGCACTAAAGTTTTTAAAAGCATCTTGTAAGTTTTAAGGAATATGTATGTTTTAAGGTATGTGTTGCCCATTCTGTATTGCTCTTGCTTTGACCCACTTTTTTTTTTCTGTATATAGAAGCATGCTTTATCGAAAATAAAAGGTTTTAAAACTAAAATAATTATGTGCTTGTTTTACACAGTACTTTATTCTGTTTTAAAACAATAACTGCTTCAACTGATTATTGAAAGGAGAACTTTTCTTTCCGCAATAGAAAACCTGGGCAAAAAGCTTTCCCCTATTACCTATAATTCTTACTGACCTTTAAGATGTCTGAATTAGAATAAACCTGACAACGCAGTTGAAAGAACAACAGAAATTTTAAAATACTGTATTAGGTGTAAATGAAAACAAAGCATAATTAATAAATGTTAGATGACAACCTACTGATAATATCATTCAGCATTTCCATTTGAATAATATGGGTTCTCTGGCAATAATTACTAATTTCTGTCCATGGCAAAGGCACTTGAGACATCGTTGGTGCTTCGAATGGGATCTTTTTGTTGCAACACTACAACAGTGCTTTGCTTTTAAGCTGTGTTAGTCAAGATGTGGCAACCTATACCAAAGGCCCCCAAATATTTCTCTTTTCTGTTTCAAGTACACTGAGAGCAGTGCCACTTCCCTTTCTAGTTTATGCTCTGCTCATTAACTGAAACAAAAAATGCAACTAAATTAAACTGTTTATGATTTCTGTGGAAAGCTCTCGACCTTATCTTTAGGAGTCCTTAGTAGTGCTTGAAGCAAAAGTTTCTGGTGAAAAAACACTGGTCTCTGCAACGGAAGGTTGACTCTGTTGCAGCCCTGCCTACAGCCCTCAATAATATTTTTTTTTCTTTTTCATTAACTTCTATAAACTGTGGATTAGGTACCTTTATCTTATAGCAGTAATTCTGATCAAAGAGATTAGCGCGTGAGATTGAAACTCTTACACTTTTTGTTGCTTCCAAACACCTGGAATTTGTATCAGCAGTTCATACAAGAACAAAGTTAATTCAAACTCCCATTGTTTTTTCTGTGTTATAGAAGGAAGGAAAAGCTACTGTTCATGGAGGATTTTGCATGAATCAGCCAAATGCCTGAGTGTTTAAAGAAAAAATAAAAACATAGGTATCATACTTTTTTTAAAAAATAGTAATTTTTGAGTATTATTCAAGAGTATAGAAGCACTAGTTCCTTTTTAAATGCATTGCACTTTTCTTAGATCAGTACCATAGCAATTCAGTAAGCATGCCATTTAATACACAACATTCATTTATATTTTCCTTATGGGAACGCAAACAGATTCTGACGATACCATCTTATTAGTGCCTGTGGAAAATCAGCATAACTGCATGAAATAAGAGCAACATTTTAATTTTTTCTGAATGTTGCTAAGATCAAACATTGGTTCAGAGTGGGTGACTTGTATTTACATATGGGAAATGTTGATAGAATTTAAAATATCACTAGACAATTTACTTTTTTTCATAAACATCAAATGAACCTAAGTAAAAAATCTTCTAGTTCTAATTTGCAAAAAAATTAAATGTTTTTCTGAATAAGTAATAATAGTGTTTTCACTTAAGTAGGAATTGTGTATCCCTAATGTTTTATGAACATAATACAGGTACGATTTGTTTCAAATAGTCCTAGTGCATGTACTAGTAATGGAAAAGAAAATGTATAGATTGTATCTCAATATTTACACTTAATGTTATTTTAAAAGGTATTTTTCAATGATCAGAAAAACATACTTTGATCAGATATGAAATTAATGCAGATGTAATTAAGGAGCCCCTTCTCCTTAGCTCTGCTTCAGTGGATTTAATGATAAAAATTTGGTGCATATAAACCATTTAATCAGATAGAGAAATAGTTATAATCCTTTTTCCTGAAGGATACAAAACAGAATCTAAACACTCTCCAAGCTTTCAGAATTTAAATTCTTTATGTAATTACAGGAAAAAAAGTAATAGAAAAAATCTTCAATAGTTGGTAACTTCTGCAACGATAAAGACCTTTTGTGAAGGTGCTGTCACTAACTCCCAAGGCAAGATAGTTTACTACAGCATATTTCTACTGCTTAGTCCAGTCCCTCTCAAGAAATCTCTCAAGTGATGGGCTTTGTTAATTAAACTGTCAGTCAAATTTTTCTATCCAGTTTCTTGTTTATATTTAGACTATTATTTCCTTAACTCTTGCTCCTCAAAAAATTTGCCTTTATGTTGCCATGGTGATCTTCAAGCCCAGAAAATGAATGTTGTAATTTTTTTTTTTTTAATATATATATATAACTATTAAGAGGCCTTGTTTTTTCCTCCTGAGTAGGAGGCAGACTTTTCAGCAAGGTGGAGAAATTGGGCTGGATTTGTCATTCTACTACATCTCATTTCTAGAGACTGTAACAGATTTAGGCCTGATAAGAAATCATTAACAGATGTAAGAAACCACTAACTTTGTTCTATCAAAAAGTCGAGTCTGGCCTGGTTACGCCCTAGTTTT